ATTTTAATTTCTTTTATTTCTTTTAAATCGTTTTCTTTAAACTTCTCGACCAAAAAACGACGGACGAATGTATATCTGCACAATAGTGTCATAGCGTTTCTTTATCGTTGATCCAGTGCCGAGCATATACAGTGCGACTCGAGAGTTTGTTTCAACATTTGAGAGAGCAGCTGTGCCATCCTTCCGAGGCCATTCATACTTTGTTTATTTCTTTTCTTAATTTCTTTTTTGAGAGGGACGTAATAATAACTTCGAAAGGGAAAAATAATAATATTATCAATTCCTTCAATTGTAAATGGTATTCAAAAAAGTTAATAAGTTTATGGGTATTACTCGTGTTATCATAGACTGTTAAATGCCAACGTTTCGTGAACATTGCAGTTTACTTCATTAGAGCGAGGAATAGTCTGATACTGTGCTGCTTCTCCGCTGGAGTTTTTTTATACGCTATATGAAAGGAAATGGAGGAAAGTAGAGGAACAAGATAAAAAAGAGGAAGGAAGGTTGACTAAAACTATGATAAAGAGAGAATAAGTGAGTGGGGGAAGTCTTTCGATCAATTAGGAGAATGATTTTCCATATGTTACTTACATTGGTAGTTATTATCTCTATTTAGGTTGTCGTAATGTTTTTGAATCTCTATAGCTTCTCTGTACTTCCTTGGGAAATATGAAGTAGTCGCAGTTATTGTGATTATTTTGTCAAATAGTATTTGATATTCTATTTCAATGTTCTGATAATACTGATGTGTTTTAATCTGACATCGCGTTAATGTTCTTTTATACATACGTTGACTATTCTTCTAGGTTTCTCCAATGTATACTTTGTTGCATAAGCAAGGTATTTTGTACACTCTTGCTGAGCTGAGTGGGAGTCTTTGGTCTTTAAGATTTGTCAAAATTTGTTCTATTTTCTTGGGAGGTCTGAATAGTTCAAATGTTGCATTTCTTCAAAATCTTCCCGATACGATCGGGAAGATTTTGTTTCTTTTACATATGGGAGGATGAAATAGATTTTTCTGTCCATTTCGTCGAGTGATATTTGAGCCTCTAACTCTCTTGTTTATTTTATTGATTGTCTGATTATTTTATTTATATTTCTTTTGTCGTGTCTATTCTGCTGTAAAGTTAGTTTTAAGTGATTGAGTCTGTGATGGCCTAAAGTATTGTCAGCTTTCTTAGTCACCAGGAAGGGGAGTCTTCTATTTTCTTCCTTATAAAGCGGATATTGGGATGTTGAGTGTTGAAGAAAATTAGGAATTTTGTTAGTTTTGCTCTACCATATCTTCAAATTACAAAAGTATCGTCTATATAGCGGAATCAAATTTCAGGAATCATGTTTCTTTGACGCTTTGCATAGAGTTTCTTTCTCGAAGTTGTTCATGAAGATATTAACGATTACAGAAGAAATTGGGGAATTCATAGCTGCACCTGAAGTTCGTTCATAGAATTGATTATTATAGGAGAAAGATGTGATTTTTAAATAATGTTTGATGAGGGGAATGAGAGCGGAGCGGACTTCATATGAGGATTTAATTATGTCTAGCATGTCATTAATTGGAACTTATGTGAACAACGATTCTACATCAAAATTTCCCAACATGTCTCAAAGAAATAATTGGTATTTTTGGATTTTGTACAAAATCCGTCGAGTTGATGATATATGATTCAGTGTTTACTGTGAAGCGTTGTAGTTTTCAAACTACAAAATGTGGTTGTATGATAGGGAATTTATGGTGCTGACAATTAATCTGAAAGAAACATTAAGTGTATACCTTAGATAGTTCGTATAGTCTTGATGAAAGGGAATTAGTGAGTTTTATTTTTTTTTAGTTTCGTCTAAAATATTGCTTTTTTCTTAAGATCTTGGTACTTCGCATAATAAAGTCAGTTGGGTCTTTGCCGAGTCTCGAGTGTGTCTTGTCAGAAAGGAGAGTCTTTATTTTGTTTTTATAATCTGATATATTGATGACTATCGTATTACCTTTCTTTTGATAATACGATAATGTCAGTGTCTTTGTTCAGTTCTTGAAGACGAGTCGTTTTTGTTTAGTGATGTTTAATAGTAGAAGCTTGGCTTTGGAAAGAATATTGCCGATACTATCTGTTCTGGTGGGAGTCAGTAGATAGATCTATTTGACTGATAGATCTATTTGACTGATGATCTCCTCTTGGGATCTTATTGAATGCTATTGCAAAATTCGGGTCTTTGGCCAGCGCAGAAATGGTATCCTGTGAAAGGTTTCTATTGGACAAGTTTTTAACAGTACTTAATAGAGAAGATAAGGAATTGTTGTCTGGACTTAGATCTTTAAATTTTTGTTTCTGTCGTTCCGAAACATGTGCGTGGATGTTCTGTTCGTATGTAATGCAGTCTAAATTCTGCCAAATGTCCTATCGTAGCGGACATTGTGGGTGAGAGGAATAGGAAGAGTTTAAAAGACTTTTGAAAAATTTTATTTATTTATAACTTAGTAAAGTGGATGCATTTATTAGTAAACATGAGGCCCGTTTTTTGAAGGATGTCTTTTGATTTATGAGTTCTTAAGTGCTCTTTGAATTGTAAGAATTTGGAAACGATCTTCTTGTCCTTACGTTTTAGAAAGGCTAAATCGTAATAGTTTTAGCCGATTTTAGCTTCTCCCTCTTTACTCTCTTACAGCCGCTTTCCTCCACTCCTATCCTCCTCTCATATCCTCTTTTCATATAAGGGAACTAAAGCGGAGAAGCAGCACAGTAGCTGCTTCTCACCCTGATGAACTTAACTGCAATATTCACGAAACGTTGGCATTTAAAAATGTATGATGACACGAATAACACTCGTAAACATATTAACTTTTTTGAAAATAGTAATCGTAGAAGTCTTAAAAGTCTTGTAAATGGTGTTATTTTCGAGATTTTTTTATGGTCGCCATTTTTTTAAATGGTATATATTTTTTTATGAAATATGATTCCTCTGGTTCTTTTGAATATAAAAGTATTAAGACACAAATATCAAAAAGTCAATCATCAGTGGTCCAAGTCGGACCTAGGCTTACCTCTTTCGCATATACCTGTAGTGCGCACGTAGATTGTACACAGGCATACGGGACTTACAATTTCATGCCAAATCCTAATAGCTTGATTAAGAAAGATTTCCGCAAAAATACTCTTGACAGTTTTGCCAGTCCGCCGAAAAGAAGACACGAGCGTATGAAAACATTTTTGGTTCTACTGGAAATCGAATCCAGGATCTATAACATAGTAGACCAGTGCGCTGCCTGGTCCATGCCACGCTCGCATTTTCAAAAAGTCAATAGTTTACAAGATATTTCGTATTTTATTCTGTCATATTCTAACATAAAAAATAAATATCTTGTAAACTAATCATTTTCTGATAAATGTATCTTAATACTTGTGCACAGAATAGTGAAATGAGTTAATTAGTATAAAGAAAACACATAATTGCTTTCCAGAAAATTATGCATTTTGCAGTATACAATTACGTATGTTTCTTCGAAAAGCAACTTTGAAAAGCACTTGATATTTTCTTTACATCAATTGATTCATATCATTATTCTGTGCAGAAAAATATTAAGATATGTTTACTAAAAAGTGATTTATTTATGTTTTATACGACGGAATACGACGGAATAATACAAAATATCTAATAAATTATTAACTTTTTGATATTTGTGCATAATACTTTTATATTCAGAATAACTAGATAAATCATATTGCAAACAAAAAATATACGATTCCATTTAAAAAAAATGATGATCATAAAAAATCTCGAAAGTGGCGCTATTTACAATTAAATGAATAATATTATCTTTTCTTCTCGAAGCTATAAAACTTTTGTCAAAAATTTATGTGCAGAGTTAAGACGCCGTTCGCTAAAACGACCCTCGACTGAGAATTCGATGGGTGACGAGATTTCTTTGAGACAGATCACACTAGTTTAATGAGTCAAAGTTTTACAATGAGATGTAGGGTTCGGTTGCGTACACTTTGAGAAAGTAGAATAGATGTTCGCTAGGTAGATTGCACGCACTGATTTGCGCGGTTCGTACGAATTGTGTGATCACGTGATGAGAGAATGTCTGCAATATGTTGAGAGAATGTTCGCAACGTTTTCAGAGAATGTTCGCAAACTCTTGTACTTGGATTGAACTTTATGAATGATTACGTGCTGCTTCGTCAATCTGAGATATGCGCACTTATCTCTGAAATATGCGCACTTATATTCTCTTTGAAAATGCTCGCAATAAATATTCTTGTCGAGTTCGAAGGCACTTGAATCATTATGTAGTGATAGAGAACGTCACACATTACTTTCAATCAAGAATCGCGATTCAAGAATTGAACGCGGCCGTAAACCAAGAATTCGCTATGATTCAGAATGCTTCGCTGGAAAGCCTCTCGCAACAACGATTAAAATATAATATTACGTAAAACGTGTTATTACATGTTATTACGAGACGAGTGAAATTAACAAGTAAATTACGACATGAGCTTCAGTAATAAATACGACAAGAGCGATAAAGAACGACAAGAGCATTGAATTTGACGACAAGAGCACGGTTATTTTCTTCAGAGGTCCTGCTCAACTGACTGAGAATTTTGGTAACGAGAGCTTTGCGAGAAGCTTGCAGGATTATCCGATCGATTTCGTTCTATCAATGATTGATAGAACGAATCATGTAATTTTCGATCAATTGATAACTTACACATACGTTCTGTCGATTGCAAAACAACCCTCTCGAAGGGTGGCTGATAAGTATAATTACTTCTGCGTAGTAGTTATGGACGAGCTACCTGGCGCCATCGGATGATTTAGAGTAATCGTCGCGGATCATCACGCGCGCTTCGCGTGTTCCGCATCACGCACTCAGGCGTGATTATGGTAATTTCGAACAGTCTGAAATGTTTTTCCATACTTTTTATATTTTTTTATATTTGACTCATTATATTTGAATAAATCTTATATAGCACAATGTAGTATATTAATAATAGAAAATTCAACGTTTTATTTATTTGTAAAATAAAAATAGTTTAGCAAAGAAGACATTTAAATGACAATTTGGGACGAAAGGTGTATACGGATAGTTAGTATGGTATAGTATAGTAGATAGTTTGTTTTTCACATACAGATAGTATATTTCTCATACGGCGATGCTTCTGAGGCATAGCCATTCAATTCGATCTCAGAACAGTAGTAGAAGAAACCTCTGAAATCGGGCCGAAATGTGCAATTAAAAGCCGGCGGCACACTTTTTTAGCTGCTAGATTTCTTGCTGGATTTGCATACTTGCTGTTGTGATGGCAGCGCTGTACTGGCTGTCTTGCTAATTGAACTTCACACAGTGCGAGTTTTCATGCTGGCTCTATAGCTAGAATTTTATAGAAGGCACTTGACGCCATTTAATTGAAGATATTTGAAACATGGAACAAATCATTGTCACTATGGTACATTACCATAAAATTGCAATTAAATTATCTTTAATCATAGAAAAGTGCTGCAAATACTACCGATGCGCGACGTTTGTGAAATCGACAGTAGCTGCAACGGCGAGATATCTGCGATAGTATCCGTATAATGTTATTTGAAAAATTGAGGAGTGAATTTACTTATTAGAAGAATTAGGAATATAGAATGATAGAATACGTGAGGAAATGATGGAACTAGAAGAAGAAGTGAAGAAATAGAGGAAGGATAGAATATCTGATATTCAAAGGGAATATTTTGATCATGTGATCTAAAATTGTGTCTTGATTGTTTTCAAAGTGAGCTAGCACAAGATCACACAAGAAAAATAGTATGTAATAGGATCTATCCGAAAATTCAGCAGATTAACCAGCAGGCTATACAATTTCCAGCATAGTAGCTAGCAAAATAACCAGCATAGGAACACGCAAATAATCCAGTAGCCAAAAGAGCACCGTGTGCCGTCGGTTTAATTCCGAACGCTGAACTATAGCTTTAAGCTGCTTAAGATGTGTTGCAAGTCTTTTCAAAATAACGGTAAATAGTAATAGCAATATAAACAACGTTATTCCAAATTTATTGATATAAATTCAATAAAAAATATATTATTAGATTCCTATCCACGGTCTAATCCACTGAATAATGCTCTTTATGATATATTCTTTAAAATCTATCTCGGATTATTATTTGTTTTTTTATGGCTTGTATATACTTCAGTGCACATATTTCCGGTTACATATATTCTCAATTGTGGGAAATAATTGTCTATAAAACATCATTGCATATTTGTCACTTTGCACATAGAACCATATTGCACATATGCAACTTGCACACATGATCATATGTCTCTGAATTTAATATTTTTCATGCAATAAATAAGCAATGTGCAATGCTATTAAATCTTTGGGAAACATTAATTTATAAGTTGTATAGTTATGAACATAGATATAGACCGAGTACATGTTAACTAACAAACTACAATGCGAAACATGACATTTCTTCGGCAAGTAGGATCTTGATTGCTAAAGTTTTTAATATGAAATAAATTCAATTAATATATATTTATATTACCAATTACGTGCTTTGATGTAGTACCTACTACGCTTTGATTTAGCATATAATAAAAGGAATTTTAATCGATAGCAATAATATTGATCATCGAATTATTATAAAGCCACTAACACATTGAAAGCCTGCTAAACCAAAGCGGCACGTAGTTGGTAATATAATTAATTGAATTTATTTCATATTAAAAACTTTAGCAACTAAGATCCTACTTGCCGAGGAAATGTAATGTTTCGCGTTGTAGTTTGTATAGTTATGTTTATAAAAATATAAATTATAATATATAAAATTATAATATAATTATATAATATAATATAATGAAAAATATAATGAAAAATATAATTATATAATATAATATAATGATATTGTATAATATAATATAATGATATGTGATGAAGATTTTACTTTAGCTTCTTGCGGCTTTGTATTTGCAATAATGAAAGTCTCTTTGTAGATTGGATTGGCAGTATGCCTGATACCCCTCGTTCTAAAACTATGCAATTTTTGTTTATTCCTGTGGCTCCATGACTGCTTTACAATATTCAATGTAACGTAAGGTTCCAATGTACCATTGTATTGTTTCGGAGGAAGGCCATATAATGCCTGTAAGATATGTAGCATAACCTTTTACTTCTGTTGTGACCATTTTCTTTAGAATATGTTAAATTATATACAGATTATTATATACATATGGAGGTTTTGTCCCAAAAACTTCCACATTTGGAGTACACTACGTGATTCTTTATGTTAAAAGAAACAATTTTTTCCTTTAACAAAATTGCGTGTAACAAGTAGTTTTTACAGTGGATCAGATTAAAAGTGACGAATGAGCGCGCGTATGTACGCAGCAATCAGGGCCGGCGCGCATTCCTCAGACCAGCGCGGCCTAGTACTTAATCTTTGACGACTTCATGTACTATATTGTTTAAAATATTGTGCAATAATTAAAATAATAGAATGCTCGAGTTCATACACGACATTATTTACATTTATTTTTATTTCAAAATAAAAATCAGACAATTTTTTTATTAAATCATTAAAAGATGAAAACAATATTTATTTTTAACTTGTATTATATTTTAAACAATACAGTATATGAAGTCAAAGATTAAGTCCCAGGCTACGCCGGCCTAAGAAACGCGTGCCGGCCCCTGCTACGCACATACGCGCGCTTATTCGTCACTTTTAATTTAATTTACTGTAAAAATTACTCGTCGCACGCAATTTTACTAAAGGAAAAAATTATTTTTTTTAGCATAAAAAATCACGTAGTGTACTCCAAATGCGGGAGTTTTGGGACATTCTGTATAGACCAGTATAAGACCTTTTCAGAAAAGATTTATATCTAATATTAATTATTAATGAAAAGTTTTTGTTTGTATTATAAAATGCTGATAACGCACTTCAATACCGATAACGAGCTTTCCGGTAATAATATCATTGTAAGGTGGTAAATATTGCAAACTCATTGTCAATTCTGTAGGAAACTCCTTCATCATTTTCTGCTTGTCCGAATAAATCAAATTCTGTAATTTTCATAAATAAATTAATCATCAAATAGCGCAATGATAGAATTTTTATTCAATCTGATTGTACACATACCAATGTGGAAGAGCGCTCCATATTCTCACATTGAACATTGGTAGAATTAAACGAGTCTCTATGAGATTCTCTATTCTCGATGATAGTACCTACATAGCATAGTATTCTTTATTTTTTGCTAAAATCAGTGCCTTATTGATAAATATATGTTATAGTTATATTTTTTAATAATAAGATAATTTTGTTCATTTGTAACTTCAGTCTTCTTCTATACCTAAAGATTACAGAAAATATGAAATAGCTAAATATCCTACGATATTAATTAATATAAATATTATTTACCACAGTATACTGTTGAATAATTTACGTTAAATATATGTTTTATGTGTGGAGTGTGTGTGTGCGTGCGTGCGTGCGTGCATGCGTGGATGGATCTTGGTTATTAAATTTTTATATAAATTAAATTCAAATAATTATATCACCAACTACGCGCCACTTAATTTTAGCAGACTTTAACGTGGTTCTATGATAATTCGATATCAAATAATCGAATAAATCGATCCAGATTCGATCTCTGAGGTAATGTTTTTCGCAATATATAATTCGCGTGAGGATAATTAAAGAGTTTTTAATCGATATCAAAAATATAACAAATATATATTAAATTTGCACATTTACACAGAAAAAAAGTTAGTTTTAAATTAAAATTATTTATTCTCATATGTAAGCAAAAATATTATAATCTTCTTAGAAAAAGTAGTATAGATGCAAATATAGATATTCTCCTATATAAGTAACAATATTATAATATAAAATATCATATTGTTTTCATATACAAGATTTTTCCTGAATTGTGCAAACGTAATACTTCCATTAATACAAATTTAATCTAAGCAAGATTAAATTTTTTAAAGGATTATAATATTTTTACTTATATATAACAATATTTTTCTTGAGTTAAGATCTCTAATTTCTTGACTTAAGATCTCTTCCTTTTTCTATGTAGGTTTAAAAAATTTTAATTAACAAATTTTTCATCTGTATGATATTTATGAGAAAAATAAAAAAGAAATCAGAATTAAATCATCTTATTATAGATATATATTATATATAGATATTATAGATATATATAGATAATGTGTGCGTATGAGCATGCATGTGCTATGTCGACATGTATATGGTTATGTACATGTGTGTGCTGTTTTATGTATGGGTGTATGTACGGCGTGCATGCACTGTTGGAAAAAATGTGTTGAATTTAACATAAATCGCATGTCCCAAACGGTCCACTCAAAATTTTGTGTTAATTTAACATAATATGGATGTGTTAAATAGTAACACCGACACTATATTAATATTTTAACAAAAAAGAAATGTACTCTTGATTTTAATTTGAAGTTAATTGTGTGTTACAATTAACATAATTTTTATGATAAAATAACATGTCGAGACGCGTCAAAATTCAAGACTGTGCCGAAACCACACAAAGAATAATAACAAGTCATCCCCACTCCTGTTATAGAATAAAACCAATATTTTTTTTTGTAAATTTTAACATATTGAATAAATACGTACGAATTATGTTATTTTAACACATTTCTTAAATCATTTTAATAATTTTACATTTTATATTTGTTAAGGTCAGTTAACAAAGTAGACATGTATTAAATTTATATATAAATATGTAGGTTATTTAATAACACAAAAATTTTAACAACGATCGATTTTAACACAAATACAAAATGTTTTTTGTGTGTATAAGTATTAGTATGTATATATATGTATTAGATTATAAATGTGTTGAAATATAATTTGAATATATATAATTGATAATATATTTTTATATCTAAAGTAATGTGTAAGAAATGACAAATCAATATTGCAGTACATATTGATTCGTTCGTAAATAATTTTCTTACTCATCCAACTTTTATCATAATATAACAATTTTTATCTAACAATAGAATATAATAAAATATAAAATAAATTATAATCTAAAAGGCGTATAGTTTAATAGTAAAATATTTATACCATTATTGTCATTTTCATATAGACTACCGAGTCTCCATGATCTATAGCTGATATCGTTTAATTTTAAGTTTCCTATTTCTTGCTTTGTTCGCAAAGGCACGCTCTTGTCTCCTATAAAAAAATGTTTGAAGGATATTGTATCCATTTTGTTCTGAATTAACTTATGTTCTTGATTAACTTAAGCATACACTATTGTTCTTTATTCGATATGAATTTCTATTTTACGATATATTATAGAATAATATATTTCGACATCTATTTAAATATTTAAATATTTTTCTTACTCAAACAATTTTAGATAGTAATTTAGAAATTATCGCTTACGAAATCTTATTACAAAAAATACATTCGTCCATTGATTGAAAAGTATATTGTTGATTGAATATATTCATTATTAGGCCCCGGATGTTCGCGCGATTTCTTGTGCCGCGCGTAGAGCATCGCTGCGTGCGAATGAGTCGAATGCTCGCTAAAGTGAGATAGCAATATTACTCTTTATCTTTTTTGATATTTTTTGGATACTATATTATTTACTTTCAATATATTGTATTTGTTTTATTTAATCTATGTTACTTTAAGATTTAAAAAATAATATGGTTTTGAAATATTTGTACTTATAATAAAATTCAAACATATTGTTTTTTGTATTTTGTTTACGTTCAATAGACGGCGCGTTAGCCAAAATCATTAATTCGGATTACGTCAAATCGAGCATCGGGTTTTTTTGAGAAATGTTATTATCTCACTTTAGCGAGCATTCGACTCACTCGCACACAGCGGTGCTCCGCATGCGGCACGAATATCCAGGCTCTATTCATTATATAATGATTATGTAATACAGCGTGGTAAATGTAATATAAATTTTTTAATTTATTAAAAAACTTATGAAAAATTTAGTAAAAAATTTTTTCGTACGAAGAATATGTAAAAAAAGTATGTAAAAGTGACAATGCTGTTTAGATGTTTCTAATAATATTGACTAATATTGTGCATTGTGGTAACTAATTAATGTAATTATATAGTAATTATATAACGTAGAGGAAATGAAAGAAACAGCATTCATTTAAGTGCATATATGTGTCATATGACGTCATGCAATGGCGTAATTTGTAAAGTGATAATAAAATTTACAAGTTATTTTTTTTATCATACAAAATATTTCATTCAAAATAAATATAACTTTCCGAGACAAAATTATATAGAGTATAAATAATTGTTTTATCTCTGTAAAGTTAGTCTCTTTTTCAAAATTATAAAAAAATATATTCTAAATACTTTCTAGAATGTTTTAAAGTTTTCATGTGATTTTAATATAAATTTTATAATTGAAAATTTAAAACTAAGGAAAAAAAACTTTATTTAAACAATTAGTGTAGTTAACTTTATGATATATTTCATTATTTAAAAACTTTAATTTTCTTTATAGTTCATAGAAAATTTTAAATAACTCTACTTGAAACAAATTCCAACACAATTTAACTATTTTTGTATAGTTCAATACAACTTACATTACTTATTTCTAAAAATTAAAAAGTAATATTAGAAACTCGCAAAAATTTTTCCAATCTTTGTTTTAACGTCCCTTTATTTTGGAATCTTTATTTCAGCTATTTTGTTAAATTATTATAGATAATTGCGCGAGGAATTATCTATAAATTTAAAGAAAATGCTATATTTCCAGAAAAAATTTACAATCCTAGACTTAAAAAAATGCCCACGATTGAAACAAAAATGCATGAATTCTTTCAATTTTAATTTTTGCGTTTATAACATTAAGGATATTATAATGTATGTATAAAATTATCCACAATTTTATTTATTTTGTAAATTTTTGGAAAAATGATATGAATTTCAGAAATGTAATTATTTGTTTTGCTGTATACATTCTTTATATATGCACACTTATAGAATTCAAATACATGACTGAAAAACAAAACATGAGAAAGAGGGGAGAACGGAAGAAGTGGAAAGTGGAAACAGAGAACAGAAAGGGATACATATCTATATATATTAAATATTTTGCATATGCGTATTTTGCATATTGCATACTCTACATGTATCCTTGATTAGTATTAATTTAACGATTAATTCTATTCTTAGATTTCAATGACTTTGTAATTATATCAGGCTGCTTAGAAATGATTAAATATATTTGATACGAATAATTATTAAATAGTTGATCTTACTTCGTTTCTTGAAGCATTCGTAGCCAATACAGCCAGGAGTGAGGAAGCAAATGAATAGAAACAATGCAATCAGAATAATTCCTACTCCTACCACAATTATGATTAGCAAGCCCCAAGGGCTAAGAAAATCTTCGTGCGACATTCACTGAAATTTATTGAAATTCAAATTCAAAATTATTTGCACCAATGAGCGCGATTGTAGATAAATGCGTAACAGCAATGTAATGAAACATTAAGATGGTCAATTTAAGCAAAAAATTCTCGCGTTACGTAGAAATATACATTTTAATTATTTCGTAATAAATCAATGTTTGTAATTAATTTGTAGTTAATTTTATTGTAATATTTTTTAAAATCAAATAATGTTATATAAATAATAAAAAAATGTTTATAATAAATATTATATCAACTCGAATAGAATTGGTATCAAAATACTTACGTTTTCTTTGTCACCACATTTGTTAATATGAGATATAAGCCAGTTTAGTATGCCACACACTAGCGTTGAATAGGAAACACATTTGTGTTACTAATTTGTGTTCTCAACTATGCCCGAACAAAAGTGAGCGAAACGAATAATATAACGATAACACTCGATGATATCACACACAGAAAATACTGTTAAAATATATTTGAATATCTATTCATATTTTATTTCTACTAAATAGCTGGTACAAAAGAAACAAGTAACACAGAATGTTCCAAAACAACTATGTCTTTTGTAAACTGCAATAGAGGATATTACTTATTGCAATTTTTTTAAATTAAAAAAATTTTTTTAATTTTTATATTTTTTGTAATTATATTTGAAAAATCTAAAAATTATTATTAGATTTTTTGTTAAATTTATTTTAAGTTTAACTTTGTTTACATGATGACGCAGAAATGATGCAAAAATAATTATAGCATTTTGATTTTTATATATCAATATCATATACATCAAGATATTACTATGTAAACTAATTTCGAATATAAAAAAAGAAATAATAAACTTTATGCGTAGAAACAAAGTCACTATGCCAAGAAGCGATAATATTCGCAACTATCGAGAGTTGGAGTATACATTTAATAATAAGTACATACATTCGTTATCCAGTGTGTTTCACATTACGTATATCATATCTCAGATATCGTATATCATATCTCATATCATATGCGCAAACGTTAATTTCGATAACGATTATGTGCATATTAAACATTATTTGGAATATTTAATGACCTGATCAATGAGATTGAGCACATCTGTTACTTAAAAAGCTACTGTTGGTTTTTTAACATTAATATTCTAAAATTTTTCTTCATATAGAATAATATTGCATTTGTGATTTAAAAAAATATTCGATTTGCAAATGTTACTCACATTACTCGCGATCACTATAAAGTCTATTATCGATTATTTCCCGCAAGAATCTGTTCATTACTCGTTCAATTATAACGCAATTTTATGTTGAAACTCACTATTCACCACACTCGTGAACGCAAATTCGTAAATATACTCGTTCCAATAGCCAATTTAATCAATTAAGTGTTCTTGTGTTGCCTTGTTTCGCTTTGTAAGCAAATATGACGGATTCGTACGTGGCATTTGCGTCCTTGCAACGAATGAACAAACAGTAAAATGTATGTACGACATCGATATGACGACAGGCGGTTTCCTCAAGAGGTTTTACGCCTCTGACTATCTTAACAATAGCTTGCGGGTAGATGAGCAATACTTACACTGCAATAGCTGTTTTGATTAGAGATCTACAACTGTATATCAGTAATTTCTATGCCTAGAATTCAGTAAACAGCTCTAAAAATTTTTCTTTATTTGTAAAAATAAGTTTTCCAAAAATCTTTTCTAAAAATTTTCCTTATCTGTAAAAATAAGAGTTTTTTAAAAATTTTCTATAAGAATATGTTAATCTTTTAATTTAGTTATTAATATGATTTTATAAAATAGCTTTTTTTTACATATCTAACTTAAAATTAAAATAAATTTACGCATACACTTCCACGCACATACACGCGCGCACGCGCGCCGTACGCACGATTTACGCACATACAGAATGATTCATTCTTATCTTATAGTCAAATATTGTAAAAAAAAACTATTTTATAAAAAAGTTTCAGACAAATATTAGAGTAAAATTCGCCACAAGATCATATAATATTGATTCATTCACAAATGAAGTCATTATTGATATTTTTATGATCGCCATATTTTTAAATGATGTTTCATATATTTTTTTGATAATATGATCCTTTAATTATTCTGGATATACATAAGCATTAAAATACAATTGTCAAAAAGTCAATAATTTATAAAATATATTTTGTATATATTTCATTTTAGCATAAAATATGAAATATTTCAAGAATTTTATTCTGATAACTGATAAATTATGTTCTGATAACCGTATTAATATTTTTATGCAAAGAAAAATGAAACCAATTAATGTGTAAAGAAGAAATAAATTTTGAAACAACTATTTTTATAGGGATATCCAATTTAAAAAACAATTATGCAATTAACAATATATGGGTTTATACTTTCTTTCAAAAACAATTATACGTTTTCTTTATATTAATTTGTTTCATTATTTCTCAATTATTTTAATATATGTGAAATATATTAAATATAAATATAATTAATATAAACATGTATTAATATATACATATGTGTGCGCATATAATTCTTAAGGCTAAGAACATAGACTTTTACATAACGAATCAAATATAAAGCATAAAAAAACAAATGATAATCCTTTATTTCTATCTTAAGGAAATAAAGTTCTTTAATTGATTCAATCTTTTATGCTTTATATGTTACAAAAAGTCTTACAATCTCACACTTATTTTAAAGGTGTCATGTTTAGCATAAAATAAAAGATTGATCATATATAGATTGATATCAAATTTCAAAATTATATAAGCTTACATGTATTAAATACATATATTTGATTTAACATGTTTTATAAATAAAATTTTCAGTATTAGCTGTATATAGAGTAATGCAGTCTAAGTTGTTTATGATTTTTTGTAAGTTATGATCTTTATTACGGAAATATATTTTTATATTCTGTGTGCCATTAGTTTAATAATTATTATATAATATAAAAAATTATAAACATGTAGAGGAAAATGTAAATAGAAAATAAAATAATAAAAATAATAAATTAATTAAGAACTTAAGGAAAAGTATTTAAAAAATCATAAATATAAATATACCTATATAATATGGATACATTCGGGGAGATCAGTATTAGCGCTATTTAGCACTACTACTTGTCGAACAGCTAATTAATAGCGCGTTGGACGTATTCAGCAGAAAGGAGCGCTACCAGATCGTTTCCAGAGGGAGCGCTCAATTTCTCTGAATGCTCTGCTACAACATAACGTAACTTGGAACTAATTTATGCTTTGATCTTAATCTTAACCTTAAAAGTTGGAAATGAAGAATGCCATAAGTCGGTCCACAATAAGTATTTAATCTTTAAGTTGTAAGAAATTGACCAATCATAGTCGATTATTCTTTTCATATTCGATTATAATTGATCAATTTCTTACTTCTTAAAGCTTAAATCACCTATTGTGGACCGACACTAAAGCGGTCTACAATGAGACTTTAAGACATAAGATTTAAGAAATTGGCCAATCATGATCGATTTATAAAAGAATAATCGATTGTGTTGGTCAATTTCTTAAGTCTTATGTCTTAAAGTCTCATTGTAGACCACTTAAACGAGCTGGCATTCTTCATTTCCAACTTTTAAGACTAAAACTGAAGCATAAACTAGCCCTTGTTTTCATCTGACTAATGTTTGTGTTTATAGTGAAATTAGTGATTATCAATATTAGTGAAAATCTTAAAAACATATTTAACATCGATGTAACATCGTGAAACGTATTTACCAATATTAATTAATAAAAACAAATAATGAATAATGTGATTTTTCAATTTATGATCAATGATGGACTTAAATATAAATATAATATAATATATATAATGGATAATATATATAATGGAAAATATTCTCGATCTTCTTATAGATTGCCAGAAATCGAAATTTTACAAGATAGGTGTGAGCCCGAAAAGTCACGGAATGCAAAATTTTGAAACAACTATTCTTATACGGATATCCAATTTAAAAAACATTTTAGAATGTCTTGAATTACTTTTGAAGTATGTACATGTATTTAAATTATCTCTCAATTATATATGTATAATAAATTAAAATTTAGTTCAACCTCTGTATTGAAATTAGATTGTTAGTACATAATATATACATATCAGTACTTTTTGTAAATATAATTATAATAAAAAATTATACATTTATAATTTTTATACAATTTTTTATACAATTTATGTATTTCAGACATTACTAAATGTAATTGGAAATCATTTTCTAAACGCAGATATACAACCAAATGATAATATTCCTCTTTCAAAAAAGATATTGTTTACAATTTGATTGCTGAGTGTTGTAGCCCGAATTACTCCTTACATTATTTTTGCCATATTATATCTTATCCTCACGATCATTCTCAAATCTCGGAATAGATACTACGGAAACGCCGGCCGGAAATGCAAACATGCAAAAGCAAGTCCGCAAATTCCAAAGCAGAACGCGAACGAGGAATTTACGAGAGCGCGCCGTTTTGACCATATATGATCCGATTTAGAATTATAACGTGACACTACTAGAATACTATAAAAACGGCCGCTAAATCACCGAGAGCAAGCAGTCACAATACGTAACAGGGCAGTTGTACTTCGTCATGGCCAGTCGTTGTCAGTAATAACGAGATTCACACGAAACATTGTCAAGAAGTCGTATCAATAAATCAGCTATGAAAGTGAGTAATAATATTTGGCCAGAAGAATCTTTCAACTACGATTCTGCTCGGAGTTCTAACTCCTAAGGCTCGGCGAACTCAACTTTCCCTAATTACAATCTTGTAATCCAATAGGCTACAACATTTTGGTGGCAGCGATGGGATTGTCGACATTATCCCCACGATTCATACAATCTGAGAGGATAATCGCTAACTGACCCAGTAGAAATCGAAGATAAGTCCTAGCAGAACAAAATGGGCAGAAAGAGAAAAAACTTTTCTGGCAACTTTTATAAGACCTGCAGTATTAGATACCTGCATCCCCAAGGCTGCAGGCAAAAGAAAAAACTTCCTCGAATTACAAGACCTGTGGAAAACAGACGGACGGAAAAGGCTCCATCGTCCAACATACCAACGACGACACTAGTCGACAAGGACACCCGATAGAGTAGCCAGCGAGCGCATATCAGCGACACTGGAGAAGGCACCGACCTATGACAACAACACGCGATAACGAAACACCATGAAGCTTGCGGCGATATTGTAAGTGAAAAAATCGTATCGTAATAAAAATTATAAGCAAGCGATAGCATTGATGTCGGACGGCGAAATAAATAGAAATCGACCTCTTAGAAATATATCGTGGTTACACGGCGAACGAACACAAAGAACGAAGTCCTGTCACCTCCATGTGTGTAGTCCAAGAAGCCGTATGCGATATCCGCGATAGCGTGTGTCGAAATTTAGAAATACGACACTCGGATGAGAGCTCATCTGAGTCGGTGCTCCATCCACACATAGTTATCGAACGAATATTTCCGTTCAACGATGTAGACGAGAGCCTAATATCGGAATCAGTGGATAAACATAGTTTGCATCTCAGAACGAGACGTTCTGAAGGAAACGAGAGTCAAAATTCACAACGGAGAAAGTGTTCGCTAACATCTTACGACGATAGCGTTTTCGATCTGAAAGAATATTACACAGCTCCGCGCAACTTCGAGCATAGAAACATGGCGGAACGACAATTATGTACACCTCGTGGCGAGGAAACTAGGGAATCAGAAATAATCCGCGCAGAAATAGACGCGGAGATAGAACATCTTCGGCAGGCTTCTCGCGCAGAAGGGTAGAGCAAGCAAAATCGAACAATGAATCAATATTAGATGTATTGCTAGAAGGAATTCGTACGCTACAACGAATGGATCGATTAGAAATTACGGTTTTTGACCATAACGAAAACCGATTCGCACAAGTGCCTAATTGAAACAATCCCGTGACGAATACCCCGTTAGACATAACCTACGGACGAACACTCGAAGACATACGAAACCGATCCGAAACCGTAGCAGGATATAAGGACGATTAAAGGAAGCTCACGATATGATTCCGGAATTCAATGGAACCTCTCATAAGCTGCCGGAATTCTTGAGTGCCGCATCATACGCTATGAAAAATACGAATTCGATGGAAAAAGGAACGCTACTAGAAACGATACTATGCACTAAACTAAAAGGCAACTAAAATTATTAGATGTACAAAAAAGTTCTGAGCTTTTTTTTGTAAAATTCAATCTTTATTCAAAAACAAACAAAAAAATATTAATCAGCGAAATATTCCCCGTTTGCATCGACGACCTTTTGCCATTTTTCGGGTAGCTTGCGAATTCCTTGATGATATTAGATGTACAACAAAGTTCTGAGCTTTAGATTTCATACAACCGAAATAATAATTTAAATTTTATATATCTTCCCACCCTTTTGCGATTTTAAAGCGTTGACATTTGGCCTTCTAAAATGCCATACGGTTTGGCGTTTGATGCACATAATCTCAAAAATCAGTAGTGTTCACGATGGCAATAACAAAAGAGCATAT